TGCACACAAATGTTCTCTGTTCATAATGAGGTAATACTGATCTTCCAGCCGGCGTCCCCGGCCAGAGTGAAGGCAGTTTGTCTGTCTACGGTCGCCGCCGCCGTCCCCCCAGATTGGCGCTCGTCCAACCTCCGGGCCCCTTGTGTCAACTGGTGCAGATGCTGTTTATAGAAACGGACCCGGGGTCCACCAGGCCCAGTTCCTCCTGCTCGTTCACACACAGCTGATACCCGCAGCCCTTTCTCCGCGCCAGGGGGGCCACCCTCCCGTCCGGCTTGGCACGGGGTGGAAGGAGGAAGCCGACGCTGCCGGCGATCAGCATGTGCCAGATGCTGTGGATGTAGAAGTAGTTTTCCTCCGTCTCCACAAAGGCGTACAGCGCCACGGCAGAGCTGGCGATGAGGGTCCCCGGGCAGAGGTAGAAGAGCCATCGTTTCCACGTTGGGGGGTAGCAGTGGCGCCTCCGGATCGTTCGGAATGTCTGACAATAGAAGAGGCGAATGTATTACGCAACGTACTGCGTGAACAGAAGCAGCTGTGACGTCATAATCATGCCCCTCCCCATGCTCCTATAGGCTCCTACACATCCTGCCCCTTGTGCTCCTCATGGGTGTGGCCCAGTTCTCCTTGTTATTGGTCTGTTCATCTAGTCCTGCCACAGCCCCCCATATCAATGCCTGAGGTCCTCCAAAGCCCTGACCCACTTTGTCCCTCTACATTGCTCCCATATCCCCCCCCCAGTCTGCTCATTGATCGCTGTATACAATGTGGGTGGGTATTATCTTTTCCTGCTCTCTGATTGGCTGTTGATGGCGAGTTAATATTAGAACTGACGGTTTGCATTTGGGGAACTTGCCGGCTTCTCATGTGGTTTATCTGTGTGGTCACATGACATACCGTAGAGGTCAGAGCTGGAGGCAGGCAGTGATACCCTTCACAGGTGTCACTTAGAGATATTTCCCAGCATTCCCCACCCCGGCCGTCAGAGCTCTGTCCATCGGGGGATCCAGAAACAGAGTGACAGACTGCGGGAACCAATCAGAGGAGCAGAGAGCGCGGCCAATCAGTAGGGAGGTGGAAGAGCACCGGAAAGGGACAGGTGAGTGCTGAACTGCCATTATCATCCCCTTCTTCTCTACCATCC